TATATATATTGACCAAACTCAGTATCGTTCATTACTTATTCGTTCACTCTTTTGTTGACTGCCGGATAACTTGTGTCAGGGGCCCATCAACAGGAGCCTTTATCTCCACTGATTCCTTTGGTTAATCCTTTCCCGAGTAGATTTATTTACAGAACGGCTTTTTCCTCCAAAAAGTATCATATTTCCGTTGGGTCGACCGCGAATCTCAAAAACTGATTGTGCTGTCTAATGCACACAATGCATGCGATGGAGTGTTTGACGTTAAACAATAGGATTGTCACAGTTCTGTTTTAATTGGGTCCTAAAACTCGAAACTTCTCTTGGGAGCCATTCTAGTTACAGATCTATTCGGACCTGGGTTGACTCAGGCTGGGTATGGTAGAGACTCCTTCTTTTGTTCTTTCCATTTTCCACAACTGACTTTTGTGGTTCTTTTGATGACAACATTGCGACGCTAAACGTCAATCTCGAAATTTTTCGTAAATTTCTTTTAGTATCATTTACGTGTGAATTTATCAATAAAACTCGTTTTTCCTTTTTTATTTCTTAAGGTGTGGCCTTAGTTACCACAGCTTGTCATCCACTGTTGGCATTCATCCGACATGTGCAGAAGAGGTCGTGAAGATGCATATCACTAAGAGATCTGGGGATGACCCGACTGTCACGGGTTGCTGAGGTTAGATCTGCCCTCACTAGCGAGTGCGCCTTAGAAACTAGTCTCATATCTCTGAAGCAACTAATTTTGTTGTTTGTAAAACATGGAGGAGTTATTAATAATTAATTCAAGCTTTTCGTGCCTGTTCTCTCAACCCACGAGAGTCACCAGCATCTTACTTCCCCTTACAATATCACCCCTGAATCAGACATTAAGGTAATGAGAATAAAGGAAATGATCACCAACTTAAGAAGCTCCTGATTGATAGAAAAAATCTCCTTGTCAGCATCTTAGGAGATGTATATAGAGCAGTATGGAGAATATGCATACTGATTTTCGGGTGTGAAGGGTTAAAGTAAGAACGTAATCGATTTTTGTGGTCAATCCAAGAAGGTTCTATCAACAAATGCTGAATCCGTCTTGTCTTTTTAATGTCTTTGTAAGTTAAATCTGTATGTGAGACATGGTTTTTCTTGGCGCATAGGGAGGGCAGACTAACAATATTTACATCCAGACAGTGGGGATGCCTGTGTTTATGGCGAAAGGTTTTTAAATTGTGTATTGCAAGTAAACCTTTCTGAGTTATCGACAGGCAAAATTAGATTTCTTTGGATTATAATTTTTACATTACAGTGTTTAATCACATTTAATCTAAATTTTTAGGTAGGAAAAAAATGATATGAAATTGTACCCTTGCTGTTTTGTCTGTAGCGCATACAGTCGTGTAATTTGCCTGTTTCTGTTTATGAAATTAAAATCTTGTCCTGTGCATATATTTCTCGAATTGTAGGTACAATTCTTTTTTAAGTAAGAAATGTGAAAAATCTGTACAACCAGCTAGTTACTATAGATGTATAGTAAGAGACAATGTTGAGTTATTTCTTTATGTGACCCTACTAGGGCTTAGCATGGGTGATTTGCAACTACTAATAAAGCATTTTTTTATTATTTATGGTTATTTTTTCATCATTAATTCCCTTTGGTTATTATTTATAAAGGCAGAGCTCAGTCAGGAAAGACCTAGGTTCCGAAACTTATCGCACGGACCGAGAAAAACGGGTGTATTGAGATATTTTTCATATCTCTGGGCTCAAATAGAGTGAGAAGATTTCAATTCAAACAAAGTTTTTAATTTAGAGGGCTGTACAGTTAAATATGGCCCGCTGAAATGACCAATCATAACGCACATACCAACTGAGAGATACAATAATCTATTTACTTCCTGTAATGGCATTGATTTTGACTACACTCAGACGAGTTATTTAATGTGAAAAGTTTATTTGGGATGAGTCGGCCAGTCTTGTAGTATATGCATCCTAATTTGATCTAAGGGTTCTACGAAAGAACCTGTGCTACGCTAGAAACGAAAAACCACCAAAAAATCTAATGCAGCAACACAATACCCCGAGGAAAGGGTAAACTAACCTGGTTGAAAAATCAATGAATGTAGTGATATTTTACAGAGATTTGGAAAACGAAAATTGCGTCAATGCGAAAAAAAAAGAAAGTGGTCAAACGTAACACTGACCGATCTAGAATGACTTAATTCCCTACAAAACGCTCAAATAATCCGAAACTTCCATTATGTCACGCGAACCTCTTCAACGTGCCATTAGAATATTAATTTCTGACTAATTCGTTCCCACGTTACTCAAACGTCAGCAAATTACATTTTTTAGCATTGGCTGGAACTGAAGTTCAATTTTTCGGCAGTGGTCGACTAGTTGTCCTTTAAAATTAGAATTCTAAGCTGTTAAACTCGGGCAATCTACTTGACAAGAATTGATATATCTGATAGTGTTGTCTGACCGTCTGGGTGGGTGAGATCCTGAGAAGGACCGTTGTCGGTAGTGGTAACTGACGTTTTGACAACCTGAGCGGAAGTCATCATAGGGTCAAGTGCAAAGTCAGTCGAATATTCTAAGTCCGGTTGGTATTAACTGATTGCCAGTTCTGACTGTAAGATTCAAATGGCGTGAGTTGGTCGTGATTGGTCTTGATCCGTCGGTTTCAGTAATGCCATTTTCCGCATCTTTCGTAGGGTAATTTTAGTAAGAAATGCATTAGTAGGTAAGCATTGTTCATTTTCCCCATCTCTAGTGTTATCGGTAGGGAACGATATTATTTTACGCCTCGCGAGACGTTTAATGGAAGGCAAGAAAATTTGCTTGGTATTGGTTTCTGACTGAATGATAAATAAACGATAACCTCCGATGATTTGGCGCGAACATATGCACGGATATTTGTCCGCGGCAGGAGTCCATTACTTCGAGAATTAATGGGCTCCTGTCCGTGGACATTATATGTTGCAAGATGTGGACGCTTTTCCGAGAGCGAAGCTCGAGGAAAACTCATTTTTGAGAAACAGAAAAAGTCCAAAGACAAATATACGACCGTGTTTTCGTGAAGTGCTATCCTCTATAAATAGAGTGTTTACTTGCTTACTTACTTAAACGTCAGCTTTAGAAATTCCCCACGGTGACCAATTTACATTATCACTCATTTCGTTTCAGCTCAGCTCCTTTGTCGATAACTCAGCTGAGAAACTATCGTCCGAACGATTAAAGCTTTAAGATGACTTAAGCTTCGACCAGTCCAAGTACTTTTCACGGACTAACTAAGAAATATGCAGGATCGAAAAAGTATTCGTCCATTCATTTTCATCTTCTAAGGCAAAGAAGCTCTCAATGCCGAACCTCTCGACGCTTTTGATTGGGACAATAGGCACAAAGAACAATAAAGGAATAGTAAACCCATGATTTACGGTTATAGCACTTCCTTACAATATAGCAGCGAACCCGAAATATTTTCAATCATCATTTCCAGATTTTCCGTTTTTCTGCCCAGTAAGTTTCAGTTTTTCCGCTGAAGAAATCATTTTTAGTGCGCAGCGAGGGTGCGGAAGTGGCAGAAAAATGTTTTACCCAAAAAGGAAGAACACAAAATTGCTTGGCAAAAACTACTAATTATACTGATCCGAAATAATTTGTTGATCGGAAACTCCACCTGACTCTTTGTGGCACAGTCCCCGTTACTTCCGGTGCGGTGAGTAGAGGTTTATCGCTGAGGGAGGGTAGGGGCGAGAGTTAGTCTAGTCAAAGGGAAAGTAAGCAAAAGAATAGCGAGCTTTTAAAAGATGTTTTTCTTAAAAAAGATATCGCAGTGTTTCTAGAAACCATATATATATATTTAACTTTATTCCTTTTTTGCCAGAATAGAGCGCGCTAATAAAAAGAGCTTGTGCTCCAGCGCGGCCAACGAGTGAAGCCAGGTGGCAAAGCATCGAACGGAAGTAGAATTGTTCTAGCAGATTTGTGTCAACACTCTGTTTACGTGCACCGGAATCAAGCATTTTGGCGTTACATTAAGAAGATTTTTTCGTTGTGCATCGATGTATATGTGTCACTAGTGTTGTACAGTCTTCTGCACAATCCTCTGACTGTGGCGCTCAGATGTCATAAGGAATGAACTAGAACTCAAAACTGTCTTCGAATCAGCGCCCATCAGACTGGAAAGCAATTGAAGTGGATGCAAATCATGTCGGTTTTTCGACATAATTTTCTCCTAGTTGCTTTGCTTCAAGCATGGATCGGCGCTACACTTGTTTCTTCCCAGCAAAGATGCCTTGGTGGATTTGATATCTACTTCATTTTAGACAAGTAAGTTGTGTTGACAGCCTGGTATGTGATTGTCTGGCGCACGCATATTAAGAGTATGGCGCACGCATTTCAAGTTTGATTCAAAATATCTAGTTTTATATGAACAAATCATCATTTATGAAGCGTTCCTTTTGTAGATAAATCCTTCTGTCGTGGTCACAGTTAAGAGATTATTATAGATGTACTTCTTTGACTTATGTGGTCACAAGTGTGCTTTTATATTAATTGGGTTTAACCGAAGAGCCTATAGAAACGCAAACGAAGCAAAATATCAACGCATATTATATGTTAAACCATCGATTGAGGTGTATACATATACATGTAACAACCCATACGAAGGATTCAAAATTCTATCCAGAGTCCTCTTTTGTACTCCAAGACTTTATTTTCATGTCAGTAATATTCTTTGTGCATACTGAAAGCCCAAAGTCAAGATTCTTATAACCTGAATGTGGATAGGATGGAGATTGACAGTGCTTTCAGCTTAAGAGGAATAGACATCTCTTCATTTGGGTGTGACCAGCAGATTATAAGCTGTTGCAGTTGGATTGGGTTTTAGTCATTTGAAACAATTAAAATGCAGGGCCCAGTTGTTTGAAGGCCGTTTAGTGCTAATCCAAGGTTAAATTTCAATCTGGGTTTCTTTATTCCTTTATTCAAAAGCTTTTTTGGGATAATTTTCTGTCTTATTTTTAGAGCATCAGATAATCATATTCTAGACAAAAAGAATTCGATTGAATTTTCTTTTAACGCTATCAGATCTGAAATCAGATTTCACACTAAGCCTGGGTTATCTTAACCCAGCCTTGAACAACACAACCTAGGTTAACAACTGCATTGCTAAGTGGAGGTTGGGTGCTTAAGACACCCAGGAGCTTCCATTATTGGCAGCCAGCTCCTAGATGGAGACTGCTCCCATAGCTGGCAAATCCTGGCAACACAGCTGGGAGCCCCCATGCAGGAAAGGGAAACAGGCACCTGTCACACTTAATAAACAGTGGAAAGAGGAAGGAAAGGGGGTAGGAAAACTAGCTGGATGATGAGCTGCCTCTCCAAACAATGCTGCAAGTTCATGCTCAAACAAAGCACATACAAGAATGCTTCAAATAAAGAGCTCATGGAAATCCAACATATGTACATATGCAAAAACCACTGACTACTAGATAATGCTGATGCTCTTTGATGTTAACTCTGTTAAATTGCATTTAACTGCATTAAATTAATGACAGACTGAAATGTGCCTCATTCCCAAGGTGTGGCTCATGTAGTTCAGAAGGTGATAAAGCGCCCAGCTATTATCTGGATTATCTGGGAGGCAGAGGTTCAAACACCACTGAGGTCTGAATTTTTTCAGGCTTCTTCTCTGCAATTATTTAAACTGCAGCACAGTTGTGAGGATCATGGCCTAACTTGTGTTTCATTTTTTCTTGATTGTAGGTCAGGCAGTGTTATTACAACCTATTTTCAGCGTCAAACTGTGGACTTTGTTCAAAAGACAGTGGAGAATTTTGTCGGGTAAGTGGCAGCTAAAAACTTGATTTGATTTTCTGAAGGGAAGAATTAAAAGGATGTGTAATGTTTCAATGATAACAAAAACTATAATAGACCAATGCTATCTAATCTTATTTTTCATTTTCAGAAAGGGTGTTAGATTCTCCTTCATTACATTCTCTTCAGACGTAGCAACAGAAACAATTTTGAAATTGACTGGTGACAGGTATATCTGATCATCCTTAATTGCTGGGACTGTTATTAGTAATATACCAGTGTATATTGTCTTTTGAATGTTTTTTCTTGCCCATTGATGTTTATAGTAGTAATTTCCATGCTAATTACTGGTGGGATTGAAGCCTTTAACTCCTAGTATCTGACTATTAATTCTCCCCTCTATAGAATGGTGCAAAAGTGAAAAGAACACAAGTGAAATGTGCAAATTTTGTTATTTGTTCTTGTGAACTTTCATTGAAATTTTGTGCAAAGGTTCAAATGACAATTTGAGGCTTTTTGAGCAAAAGTTCCATTGAACAAAGAGCGCTATTTTGTCAAATTTTTGCAGAGTCTCGACCACAAGTGGGGAGTTTCATGTTTTGTTATATGAAGAAGTTTAAAGTAGGAAATGGTGCCAAGTTCAAGTTTCACTTTCCTGGAGTGTTTGTGTGGTCGTTTGTTATTTATAAGACTTAACACCTGACTGTTCAGATCACATCAACAATCAAACATTTATATTGACAGAGGTTTCATCAGGAAGGAGTGATAGAATAGTTAATTGAGTGGATGAAACTGATTTCAAATATTTCTGCATTGCATTACAACAACACATGGGCTACATTTCATTCTGATAACCAGTCAGAGTAATTTTCTCTCCAAATTTTGCACTGAACTTTTGAGAAGAGCAAACTTTCCCTCTTGAGTTTGCAACTCATTAGTGTCCATGGCAAAATATCATTTGTAATTTTGGTGTACTCAAACAATAGGTGCCACAAAAGTTTGTGGAAAGTTCATGGAAATTTTGTTTGGAGGAAAATTTCATCGGAAAACAAAGAAAAGCCAGGAAATTTGTCAAACCTCATTTGCGTTTTTTTTTACACAATACTGTATGTGCTACACATTTCTTTATAAATAAGTTATGAGAATTTGGGATTTAGCAGAGGACAGCAAATTCTACCTGATAAGTATGAATATTCTTATTTCCTATGTGCTGGGTAATCTATGGACTATTACAGGGAGAAGTTACATGTCAATCACTTCTGGGAGTTACAGGGTGAAAGGGATATGGATTAAAATTGAAAAATGAAGTTAATTACCCACAACAACTGCTAAAGATAATTATAACTGTCGGTACTATTTTATAACAAAATTATTTTTCATGTGTTACATATTTTGTATGCTTTTATTCAAAGATCCAAAATCAGGGAAGGCCTAAATGAATTAAGAAAAGTGAAACCAGGTGGAGATACATACCTGGAGAAACCTCTCAGTATGGTATGTACATGTACCTATAGTCATAATATTAATTTTGTAGGTGTAATTTGTTGCATTTATTTGCACTGCTAAGAGTGCTGTTGATTAAAATACATATTGTGTTTTGCCTAGTTGGATGGAAAATCCATGAGTAAACAACAGACGAGGTGAAATTTTTATGGCTGTTGATTATGTGATTGCAGTAACTTAAAATCACCTGACCTTTTATCACGTGTAGATTATTGTGGTCGTTATCCCAAAAAATACAATTATTCAATATAGTCCATATGAGTCATTGTGATTTATTTTTCCTCTAGCTAGCCTGTCCCCAACATATTTTGTCGTGATTGAAAACCAAGTGTTTCATTTACTTTAATTTGTGGCCATTTGCAAAATATGGTTGAAGAGTTAAACTCAATCACAAATCCTGTTAAGCTTCCCACATAAAATCCAGTGGGTAGATTTATTTTAATTAGCTTCCTAATGTATAGCTTACTTGCAGGGAATAAATAGATCCTTATCACATATATGAATCAGATTAGATGCTCCAGTACAATATTGTCTTTGAATATTGTTGATATCAGTAGTACAAATACATGCAGGTTCATCTACATAGTCAATTGATTTTTATGAGAGTCATATGTATCAGCCTTGTTTATATTTTTTGGATTTTTCTCTTTTTCCTTTTAACAGGCAAATAGTCAAGTTGCAACTCAATTAGGTGAGTCCAAAAAGGAACTCAAAAAGAGAAGGTTTCCAAAGTTGCCTCATGGCCACCTTAATTTATAAAATGATCTAAAAAAAATTAAGTTTCAATTAGTCCCATGCAGTAATCGGCCCCTTTCCCCCTTCCTCCAAGATAAAAAAATGAAATGGAAATTTTTCACAATATTATTAATTAATATTACATGCATATGATTCACTGTTACAATCAGATAATGAAACTCAAATTGACAAAAAAAAACCAATAACAACAAAAAAAGATTTATGTGTACTTGGTTAATAAAAATCATGACTTAAAAAATGTAATTATAATTGTTGTGTACCATTTATTGTTTCAAGAGTCTGTAAATGCTTTTAAAGTGGTGAGTAAACACTGACTTATGGGTATTATTGATTGGATTGTTGTGTATTTTGAATTCAAAACATTCCTGAGAGCATGTTTGTGACCATCATTTAATACTCAGGCAATTACATTTACATATTCACTGTTAATGAGATATACATGATTGTACAGTTTCCTTGATTTGCCTATCAGTTCCTTAGCCCAGTTGGTGCCACTAATGCACAATATGATATCTTGTTCTTGTAGCAGTTGTAAATCTTTTCTTCATTGAATGCCTTAATATAATTACAGGACAGCAGTCAGCATTTAGTATCTATATCATTCTGACTGATGGTAAAGTAGATGACATTGGTAAAGCTAATGAAGAGGTTGGTGAATTTCATTATTGTGCCTCTCTCACCCTTTAAAAAACTTCAGTTAACACTTACCTTTTAGAAAAATTTTGTAAATTCAACAATCGACTATTGTTAATAATAATCATAACAACTTTCCAAGGAAATCATCAGGAGTTTTAGAATTGAGTGAAAAAGTGTTCAATTACCGGTACTATCTTAATTGATGCAGTATCTATTTTAATCAAATTTGATCCCAATAAGGGATCAATGCATTTTCTTTGTATAATATGGCTTTAAAAAGCCCTGCAGGGGATTATTCATTTTTGATTTAAAATGTGATCATCTTTTGTAATTGCTATTATTTGTAGGCTAAGAAGGCCAAAAAAGCTGGAACAATAATCTATGTCATTGGAGTTGCGTTATATGATGAATCACAGGTAACAGATATTTTCACAATTAACTGCTAACTGATAATGGAATATTTAAAATGATTTAAATGTTGATAGTTGAAATCACTCTAAGGTGGTTATTTACTTATAATAATTATTTCTCAAGGATGAACTTGGTTTAGTCAACCCTTTCACTCCTTGGATCTCATTTAGTTATTAATTCTTGTTACTGTCTGCAATGTAATTCTTATGTTAGTGTGGAGTGTTTGATAATGGATCAGCTAATAATCCCCTAATTGATATTTTTCTTTATTCTCATCACTTATCTGCTTGATATTGTATTGATATTGTAAGGAGAAATTCTGTCTTGGTCACTCATGGGAGTTAAAAGGTTAAAGTATTCTGTTACTGGAGAATATAGAAAGACTCCCATGTTTATTGAGTAACATCTGTATTAAATGGTCCTTAATCACTTTGTATATAGACTTTCATACTGTCCAGTTGCACAGGCATAAGCAGACACTGTGACCTTAATTGCACTGGCTTATTACAAACATGATGTGTACACAGCCCTTGTAGTGCTCAACTGATCACATGCAATAATTTTTTTAAGACTTGATTATTGTAATAAATTACAATAATGGCTCTATTGTTCTAGCTGACAGTTCTTTGCTACTTATCATTAACAATACAGGAGCTTCATAAGTTACATGTGTGTGATATTACATTTGGTTAGTCTTCATGTATGGTATAATGCCCATTGCAGCTCAAGCTTTTGGCAAACAAGCCCCCAGAGGATTTTGTTTTCACAGAACCAGGCTATCAGGCCCTACAAAATTTAACAAGTGATGTAAGTGTTAACTCTGTTTTTTTTAAACAGGGGAGAATTAACAGTGTGTTTATAAATTAATCTTTGTGTGTCTTTTGGTTGTAAAATTTAAAATTTTGTATATTGTCAGTAAAAAATCCCCAGTGGGAGATATGTTGTATTTAAAAAGGCAGGTTGTAAGGAGTAAGAAAATTGTTGTGATTTCTTATTGTACTGAATAATAACAATAAGTTTATTTATTTGTATTGTTTGTTCAAAGATTTCTAACCGGACATGTGTTGAAATTACTGCTGTTTCCCCAAAACAGGCCTGTTTAGGAGGTAAATATGCCTGATTCATATTTTCATCAGATTTAATTGGTTTTGTCAGAACTCTACTGCTTTGATTATTTAAGGCAAGTCACATGAGTTAGTTTCATTTTCTATTTTTGATATGTTTTTGTGATAAAGTGAGATAATGGTGGGCTAGATAAATATTTTGATTCAGTCATTGCATTGCTTTTCTTAAACTTTTTGGCTGGTTTTCTAATCACTTGAATGTAGTAACAAGTGGCATCATTGTGGTTTCATTGATTAGCTTAAAACAAATCAAAATAAAAACATTGTCTGAAATGTTTACAACTATTTTGTTTCACCATTATCCAGGAAAACTTTTTGTTTCAGGGTCTTTTTATTTTCAAGTTCTTTTTTTATGGAAATTTTTATGAATATGTTTCATAAATGTCTGTGCAATTTATGCAGAGCGCAACACTGTTACAATGTATGGGCGTGGCTTTGAGAAGTTTGATTCTGCAGAGTCTCATTCTGTGAGGTGTGGCTTCAATTTTAATGCCACATATCGTCAAGGTATGTTGAACAATGTTATGATGTGAAACTGTGAAATGATGAAAAGGTTATAGATATGGAACTTTTGAAAAAGAGGTGATATTTGGGTTTTGTCGTGGTGCTTTTGTTCACTATTTTAGACCTTGACTGGGAACAAAAATACTTAGAGTATTAACAGAATTAGTATGAAGCAGTGATTGTCACCAGTCAGTAAATGAGTGTTTGATTGCTTTAAGAATGTGTATAACCAGTAGGCTGTGGGCAAAAAACGCCTTAACTAAAGATCACCTGGACATGTTCAAATGCCTCACCCAAGGTCACTTAATTTTTGACAAGTTTTGACTATGGTATCTTGGAATAATGCCTCCATTTCTTCCAGGGAGTACAACTGAACCTCCCCCAGTGTAAGGTCGGTCGTACAGATCATAGGTTACAAATCTAGGTGGATAAGTCCTCCTTTGACCAAGTGAACTATTGCAGGGTTGGATCTCATCCCTGTTCGAAGTAATGATAACTCTTGATTTTAACTGCTTATTAATTTGTCTGTTTTGTTCATGGCATGCAATTACATGTGTTTTTTCTTCTTCTTTTGTCATGAACAGTAACAAAAGCCATCCTAGTTGAGGAGAACCACTTAGTGTGTCCTGTTCCTGTATTGAATGACATCGAAAGGTAAATTTGACAACTTAAAAAATGTAACTGGGCAGTCCACAACAATTTGGCCGGTTGTTAGGATGGAGTCTTCACATTTAAGCGATTGTATGACAAGAATGCTGAATAAATTAATGAGTTTTTGGTGAAGTTTCCATTTTCTTGTGTGCTTAAGAACTAGTTTAATCAGTAGTAATGTGATATACATCTATTTTTATTCTGTTTTCAGCGTTCTTTTGCTTCAAGTTTCATTAAACAATGGAAACACATTTGTCTCCAGTAATGTCAATATCTCAGCCAAGAACTGCACCAACACAACAAAGCCAGGAAAAGAAAATGAAGGAGATGAAGGGATTCCACCAGAGGTGAGTTAATAATTCATTTTTGATGATGATTTTCTTAATTCTCATAAACTATGTGCTTGTGACACGTTCACTCGTAACCCTTTCACTGCCAAAATCTCACTAGTAATTCTCTTTACTGTCTGGCATATAATTCTTATGAGGGTAGCTCAGAGAATTTGTTATTGAATCCCCTCATTATTTCTGCATGTTATCCAAGGTTGTAGCGATATTCAGTGTTCGTAAGGGTCCTGAAAGACCTGAAAGGTCCTGAAATTTTTCTTTTAACATTTTCTGGGACTGGAAATTCCTGAAAAAGGGTACAGGTCCTAGAAAGTCCTGGAAATCTGCTAAACTTAAGCAATAAAGTTTTCAGAATTTACGTTATAAGAAATGTATTCAGACCATAAGGAGAATTATTGATTTTGAAATCTTGGGAATGAAAGGGTTTGAGGTGAAATTTGGAGTCGTGGAAAAATAATCTGAGTCCTAAAAAAGTTCTTGAGATTTGTTTCTGAAAAAGGGAAAGAAACCTGGATATTAGAAGGAGAAATTCTGCCTCGGTCAGTCCTGGGAGTTACTGCGGGATAATGATATTCTCCCTTGTTTTAATTGGCCGTTTCTTTCCGTAGTTTTTTTATAACATGGTTTCATCTTTTTTACAACTGAGTAAGTCACTAAACGAGTCTTTCACATAGTATACCTCTTCTGTCAAATCACTTGTCTCGTTATTTTAACAGACTGGAAAGAGAAGTAACGTTGCTTTAGCGTTGGTGCTGTTGTTTCTGTTTGCTTTGCTCATTTTACTGGCTGTGTGGTGGTGTTGGCCTCGCATCAGGAGAAAGGTGAAAGGTTTTCCTGGTTAAATAATTGCGTTATTAGATCCATTTTGAAATCACTGGTGATCCTTGCAATCTAATTGGCTCTCGTTGCTGCGATTTATTCACGAATCGCACTATTTTTTTTGCACTAAATCACATCTTTTTCTTAGCCAATAAAAATCTTTATCAAAACACAACAACCACTCAGATTTGAAGGCTTGTTTAAAGTAACCAATCAAATTACAGGGAAATGAAAGACAACTTTTGTAACTTTTTACAAACCAGCTCAACACTAGATCAATAAAATTATTTTACAGACTTAACAATCCTATATTTCAGCGACTGAATTTTGCGATTTCAAAATAGATGTAATTGATTGGTAATCGAAGTTGGTGTCATGTAATTTTGGTTTGAAATCATCCTTGTGATTTCAAATCAAACTCGCGCTACGCGCTCGTTAGATTTTGAAATCACGCGTATTAATTTAGACCAAAGTGTATTCCACTCAGTTCAATTACCATTATTAATAGCGTGATTGTGCGGGACGCAGTGGTATGGTGGTTAGTTCCGATAGCTTCGGACCCAGAGCCTGTCGGTCAATAGAGACAATTGAAAATCACGGGTGACTAAAAAACGGTCGGGGATTGGGAAAGAAAATTGTGGAAGAACCCCATGTGAACTTTCTAGTATACGGGCTGTTGGTTTGCCTCGGAATTGGTTAATTTTGACGGATGGCATCGACCAGGGGCGGATCCAAGGAATTTTGATGAGGGTTTGTTGGGGTGGGGGGTGGGGGGATCTAAAATTTGATTTAAAATACACCGATTATTATTATTATTATTATTATTATTATTATTACTATGATCATGATGATTATTATTATTTGTTTGTTTTTTTTCTAACACCAGAGCCTTAATGAGCTAAGAAATATTTTGATATAAGCAAGTTCAAAATACTCCAAGTTGAGGAAGAATATGCAGGACTGTGGTTAGAAATATGTGCGTTTTAGACAAGAAAAATATTTACCAGTATGATGGGGGAATCTGGACTCCCATGCCTTACCCTTGGATTTACCACTGTTGATGCCTCGCATCAGCGTCCATTACATTGCTTCACACGTTGCACTCAAATGGCGGTCAGCTTCGCTTTTGGTTGATATTTGTAAACATTAAGGGGAAGATCGTGCGTCTGTTTTATGCGCTTGATGTAATTTATCTTTGCCTTGTTGTGTTCAGCAACCTCGAGATTATCAACCAGCTGGCGTATTAGAACCGAAGAAACCTCCTCCCAGGCCCCTGCCACCAGTGAGACCCCCACCACCAATGGAGAAAACGGTCAGTAAAGGCGGATGCGCCATACACACTTTGGAAGAATTTAAAACACGAATGGGTGTATCTTATTGGTTATAAGGAAGAGGATAATAAGAATTTGATACGAGCATTGCACTAGTAAAGAACCAGACATATGCAGGCGAATGCTTCTTGCATCTTCGAAGATTTTACGAATGCTATGCACTCACTTGAAATTCACGCCCCACGTTAATTTTAAAACACTCCACTCCACTCCTCTTAATTTACGCCTGTTTTCCTCATCAGCCGGGTGGCAGGACAAAATGGCCGACAGTTAACGCGTCATTATACGGCGGAGGAACTGCGGGAGGAATCGTTCCTGTCAGGGTGAGTGTTAGGCTCCCGTCAGGGTGAATCATTTTTTGTCAGTCATTTGCTAACAGCCGGAAAAAATAAAGAAGCTTCGTATATATTAGTAAGTTTGTGAGACACGAATCAAATTATTGTTCGGGCTCCGTTAGAGTCAGAACTGAAAAATGAGACCGCAGACTTCGTGGACGTCGCCTATTCATATTTGCCATTGAGTAGCAGGTGTAATGAGGTGTACTGGATCTGAAAAAACCAGCACTGAAGAGGAAAATTATAACTTTATACAGGTGGACTGGGGCGACAAAGGCTCTACAGAAGCTGGATCAAAACTAGCACAAGCAAAGGTACCATAAATATTTCTTGCATATTTAATACCTCTTTCGTTTATTTTTTTGAAGATTGGAGAATTTTTATTTTGATACAATACCAAACATTTCCGCTTCGATAACTCTGCTTTCATTGTTTTGTATTGAAATCTTAGTTTTCCAATTTACTCTTTTGGACACATCTTTGTTTCTTTAAACAACTCGGGTACTTTTCCGTTTCCTCTCGTTTAGCCTTGCGCAAGCCATAACACCTCGTTGTCCGTACTTATCATGCAATCGTTATCGGAACTCTGCTCATTGTCAGTGAGCTTGAAGCTTGGCTGTGGGTGAATCATACCAGCCGTGAGTTTGTTAATAAACCGCTGATAACTTCAGCTGTCAATAGACAAGGCACTAAGGCTTGTCAGAGAAGCGAGTGACCACTTGCAGAGTTTATTTCTTACTGGAAAGAAACCTTCCGTTTCGCAGATAAAAGGATACTGTGTAGTATGTCAACCAGTGCACTTTTATGTCAAAAAAAAAAAAAATAAAAAAATAAAAACCTGACGTTTTTTTACCAACAGCCCTTTTACTGTTGTTTAAAAAGATATGTCCTAATAGTTTACTGTTGACGCAGTTCTTTGGCTCGTGACGCAGTCTGAAAGAATGTCTATCATCATGTAAACTTCATTGAGTAGCGTTTTTGCTGTAGAAGGCAATAAGGTCAGCTGCCATAGCAATCAAAGTATCGATCAGCTCAATGATCTAATTATATGGGGATTTACGAAGGGCTAACGCTCAAAACGTCAGCTCAAGAAACTCTTTTCAGTGGCCAATTTCCATTATCAACTCAGTTGATAAAAACCAAATGATCTCGTACTACCCCCACCGACGCAGCACCACAGTTTCTTTAGAAACTTACCCCCCGTAACTCAATGATCTGTTTGTTTGGTGATAGGGAGCAATCATTAAAGATACTGACGACGATGGCACAGAAAACCAAACATACGTGCCAAAGGGTTCCTCTACTCCAGGTTGTTGGACGGCAGCTAAGGTAAATAATTACTCCGACGCTTGAAATGTCAGCTTTTAAACTCTTTGCGGTGGCCAGTTTACATTATCAACTTAGGTGATAAAACCAAATTATCTTGTTATACTCTCCACCGATGCAGCACCACAGTTTCTTTAGAAACTTACCTCCTTGTTTGTTTGTCTGAGCCTACGTGTCTATTTTTCAGTTTGTTTGCTATCGTAATGTCAATATAAAAGAAAGAAATTGGTAAACTGTTTTCAACCAACTGAATAAAAGTGTAATGTTTCTGTTTGGATACAAATGACAAGGAGAACTCAGCGAAGCTGACGCCGTTTCTGTTGTCCACCTCCATTCTCCTCTTGGCCCTTGCAGCTTCACTTTTCCGTGGTATCGTCTTCTCCAATATACAAGAATACAAGCCCGCGTAATTCCAGCAGTTGTGCTGGCTAAAATATCATATAGCTTGAAGTGGAAGATGTCATTCAGTGAATGACACAGGCATACTCGAGTGTTCCCAATAGGAGTCAAACCTACGACCTTCCGACTGGTACACGGGATGCTCTATCACTCAGTTGTAAGATTAAAAAGAGAAAATGTAAAAAAGAAATCATCATTGGATGTTTTTGGCAAAGCAAGAACTTCATATTTTTTTCACTGTACGTTTGATTTCAGGTTAAGGTTATGGCTGGTGTGGCTGCAGTTTCCGTTGGTTATCGTCGAGTCGCTTCACACAGGCCACAACCCGGAGGAAATGTAAGTTGCGTTGACGTTTTTTTTTTCCATTGTAAATCTTGTTTAACACGAGTGTTGTTTACCAAATTGAGAAAACTTATAAAATAAATGATCAACTTTAGACAGGGTCCCATAAAATTTTGGGCTAAGGCAAAAACTGATCTTAAAGAGTACTTATAAAGGGTGAATCTGAGGTTTTTTTTTGGAGTTCGTGATAAATACAATGTATGGAAGACTATCAACAAAAGCAATTTAATCTTCCTCTTAGTACACATCTCAGGTTCACAATTTTCTCTGCTATCTTCGATATCATCGTTACATTAACTTCAGAAGCTCGGGTAACAGAGTAAAACAAACAAACAAAAAACTAAAAAAAAAACACAAAATGCTTCCAAATTCTGGGCTCTAATGAGAACCTGCTTGTAGGTTGTCCGACTCTCGGGTTCTGTCGTCGTTAACAGCACATTCCTTTTCAGGACTTCCCTCACCCATAAGATCACACAGCAAGACCGTCTGGAAGTCTGGGAGTCATAGTTTCAAAACATTTACTGAAATACGTTTTTGGTCACCGAAATGCTTTTTTCAATCCAGTGAAGATGATCTTTTCAAATAATTTCTAACTGGGTTTTCGTTGTTCTTTCCGCTGGAAGATGCTCAATTAAAAAACTAGAAATATTGCCGGAGCAAACGCATGAAAACTGAACACTTTTTTCGGAAGTGTTCTTGTTAAGAATTTAAGTCCAATAATTACAAGATATTTTATGTTAATCTGGCCCACTGAGCTTTACCTGGTAAAGCGCTCAGTGATATAAGAGATGCCATCAGTCTCTTCCACACCTCCCTCTTCTTCAACACAGCTGTTAAATCTGAACGGGCTTCACACTGGAACAAGGCGACCATGGTTATTATCTCTGAGAGAACCATTCAGTCCTGCCGCAGACTCATGTCTAGGCTTTCTCTTCGCGAGTAGTTTACTGGCGTCGCTGACAAAAGTGTCGAGGGCCCCTCCGAGGTAGCGCTTGTTGCGAGACCTCCTCTTTGCAACTGAAAGTTCGCAACCACAAAAACGTTTGACGCGCTGGGAATGAGGTTTACCAGTGTGGATGTAATCTTCTGACAGTGGTATACCCTCAAATATTGCAACGAAGAACAGCTAGCTACAAACCTTCCAAGGGCACAGTTTGTGACTTCGCTGCTGTAGCTCAAATCTAAGACTTGAAGTGAACGGTAGCGACACTCAGTCATTGCGTGAAGTACCTCATCGGTGATTGCGTGGCCATAACCACAGCAGCACAACCGCACGAATCGCAGGAGGTGGCAACGAGTCAGTATCGATTTAAGACCTACTTTGCTCAGATGCCGACACCACGACAGATCTACTTCGGTTATCATCGAATTCTCCCAGGAAACCGCTTGAACTTCATTGTCGGAGACGCTCGTACCGTCGAGTACTAACGATGTCAGCGACGAGCAGCAATCGATTAACTCCGACAGACTTTCTCCTCGAATATTGTGGCATCTCCGGAGACACAGTGATCGAAGATTCGGACAATTTTCCGCGATAAACTGGACTATTGTATCTGTCAGTGAATTACAGTAACTAAACTCTAATATTCTAACTTCCTTCAAAGAAGCGAAGAATCTTAGTTTCTCGCCTTCAGTATCGATAACTCCAAAAATAGAATCGCTGAGGCCTAGGCACTGCACTTGCTGCACGTTCTGGGTGATAACTTTGAATGCAGTTGGATGTCCCGAGCTGTGCCGAATATCCAGCTTTGTTAAATTCCCTGGAAAGGACTCGTCGCTGACCGTGAAATCTTCTTCAAAGGACACAGATCCTAAACATAGCACTCTTAGTTGTTTGCAGTGCATGGCCAGAACTTGGAAAACTCTCGGAGACAGAGTGAAACCTCCAAGGTTGATCTTGAAGAGCATCGGTACCATTCGATTTCGAATGAGCTTGATGAGGCTGAATTCGTTAAGCTTGTGGAAACGTTTAAGATTTACACATCTCCACAAAGAGCTGTCGTAAGCAATAGCTCTCCAACCTCTGCACGTCCGCGCGACTCGACACAAGTCTGCCTCGCAGAGGAAGCTGAATATTACAAGCAGTGTTGTATCAGGAAAATCATGAATGTGCATTGTTCATTTTTTTTTTGGGTTATTCAAAAAAGGCCATGATTGTGAATTGCAATGTGACTTAAGCGTTTGTTTACTTTCCCGCTATATTTTCACAGAGTTTAAACACGTCATAATAGAACTGTTTTAAATGGAAGGCATCGTCACAAATTAAGAATTCTTAATTTAAAATTAGTCTGGGAAAAGCGGTTGTCAATTTTTCCACGAGAGCCACATTCATAGGAAAAATTTAGTTCGCTCCCGTCGTCGATACCTTTGCTTAACATTCACTACTATCATTATAATTTGTTTTGTTTGCTCCAGTTTTTTTTTGCATGCTTTTGTCCATCAACATGAGCCCGCTTGGTAACACAGCGGTCAAACGTAGGGCATGCGCAAGGGGATCAACTTTGGTCGGCCACGCGCCGACTTGGTTCTTACAGACTGAAAGCACGTCATTACAACGTTTGCGCATTTTGCATGTGAAAACGTTTGACCGCTTTATTTCGTTTGGTATTAAGTATTAACACAAATGGAACTTTTTTTTTTTATAAATTCTGATCTATTTGTATTCGCATTCTTTAACAATTATGAAAACCCTTGTTTGTGTGTTATGGTTTCAAGAGAGTATTACATCCACAATAACAGTTTTGTCTTCTTTGCTTCTGCAGTGGCTGTACTCCTCCAACCCAGCTGTGTGATTGACATGGACGAAGAATTGTTTGTAGTGTTGTAATACTACATAAGCATTTAGCAATCTAGAGAGTTTCGATGAGGTTAACCGTTAGTCGTTAAACATCAATTTTTAAACCTTTCATGGTGGGGTTCACACAAAAGCTCCGAGTCAGACGACACATATGCCCACACTTTCTCATCAGCGTATTCTGATTTTAATACTATATAATACCTGGCTCTAAATTGTCTCAAACAGCCTCAGTTGTCTTTTAGACTCAAAACATTGACAGCTGCCTTTACATGCACGTAGAGATAGATTGTTGTGCTCTAAAGTGTCCTTAATTGTCGTGTCAACATCATGTACCTCGTGTGAACACCATTCCACTTAAGCACCTCTCCCATGAATTCAGTTCAATTTGCATTCTAAACACAATCATATCTTACATTTTGCCACACCAGCTTAAAATCAAACGAACGCATATATCGAGAGAACATTTGAATTTAGCGTGGCTTTATATTCAATTTGAAAAATAATTGATAATCTTCAAGAACCGTAAAATTTCTTTAGACTGCAAGATCACTTTTGGCTGATCGCTACTCAGCCAAAAATCTGCGAGTATTTATTTTTCAAGCCTTTTCTGGTCAAGTTCGCTTATTTCCCGTAATAGATAATCGATAAAGTGGTGAGGCCACTAATTCCTATATTCAAAGGCTGAGAAGTCTATATCTAACTCGTAATATTTGTAGCAGTTGTGTGGCGTACTTCAAAGTAGAATGTGTTATTGTATTCCCGTGCTATTTAGTGCGCATGACATCTATTGTTCAATTGCGATTAGAAGACCTTTAGGGAGGAAGGTTGGCGAAATACAAACGAAAGATCATTGGATGAGAAAATTGACTTAAAAATTAAATTAAAAGAAAATTTAATTTTTCTCATCTATATTTTCCACTTCTCCAAGTGTGGAGTTTGACTCAGTATCAAACCCTTTCTCACCAAAGTTGAGGAAAATTTTAATTAGTGTACAGCTAGGTTTCGTAGGGAACAAACACTAAATTTATTTACAGTAACACAACTGAACAAACTTGTTCTTCTTGGAGGCGAATAGAGGTTCTACTCATTTCCGAACCGAATTATAAACGCATGCGACGGTTTTGATAGATATTGAACTTAATCAGAGGCAGCCTCATTGCTTAGCAAGAGTAGAAAAAGGATATTGTGCTTTTGTCGACATTTACTTCTCGAGTTTGTTTTTATCTGTCGAGTAGGGGTTAAGGGACGTGTTCAGACAAATCCAGGTACCCGCTCGATTCGACAAAGACAAAGAGTTTTCTATATATGTAATAAAATTTAGAGAAAGCGTTCGAATTGTTTTTGTGAGGTCCTTCTTTCGTTCCTCGGCAAAACCCATTCTGCGTAGCACGTGCTCAAGTTTTTGGTCCTCGTACAATTTCTCATTTGTCCTCTTTTCCTTCCCAAGTGTTCCCTTGTGAATTTCCCTTGCGTTCCTGATGCGTTCTTCGTTGCGTTTTAAAGTGTTGCCCGTGCGTTCCTTTTCTTTATCTTCCCTGCCTCTGCATGTTTCAGGTGCTCTCAACATGAGATCTCCTAGGGAAAATTCCGTTCATTTTCCTAAGTGTTCCTCGATGAACTCCTTGTTTGATTCCTTTTGCGTCAATGAGTGAATTCTCTGTGTATGTAAGTTCTCTTTCGTCGGTCGCCCTTCTCACGCAGCAATAAGAAAATTCACTCTAGTGCAATTTCAAACCGCAATTAAAAAACTTCGGGGACTCGTTCGGATAATTCCAGAGCCTTGCGCGTTCAATGCGCTAGACAAGAGTTATGCGGACGCTTTGAGAGCAAGATTGGCATGCACTGAACTACTCCTCAATGTCTATCTTACCGGCGGCTGTGACATATACCATTCCCTATCAGGTTTGAAAATCAAGTGCTTAATAAGGGGAAAATAAAACATTGAAACATAATTTTAAGAAATCTGCGCTGTTTATTGACAGAAATTAAACGCCAATTATAACGAAAGAATATCCTTATCTCGCAACCAAAATTAATCTATGCATACAATGTTCATCCTCTGTAAGCTAGGTACATGTAACTTGACTATGTATATAAACGTGTAAAGCTACTATAGGCCCGCAATAAAGCGCATGTGGACTGAGTAGTTTCCAAGTGGCCATCTACACTGAGTTATCCTCTGTATTCTGATAGCGAGGTCACATGATCATCAGTGTTTTAACATCGCACACGACATAAAAGCAAACCGACAGGAAGTTTACCCAACCGCATACGTTTCGCTCCTCGTTTCAACTGACAAACAACCGCCTTCACTATAACCCCTTTTAACCTATCAGTGACTATCGTCTAGTTTCTCCACATATTATCACCCAATGTTTGGATGGAAAGGTTACGACGCAAGTCCTAACTAATGAGAGAACAAACCTACCATGCCTTTTTCCACCGTTAAATCACACGCCTGTTTCTGGCAACTAAACGTCTCGGTCGTTAGTCCTTCTGCACTTTCCCTCCTGCCCCTCCCCTCCCCCTTGAGCTGACCTGGCCACTTGTAGACTACACTGTGTTAACACCTTATTATTTAAAACTACTCCAAACGGAATTCATCTATAATATGAACAAAAAAAAACAAACAAACAAACAAACAAAAAATAATAATAATAACATGCTCTTTTCTAACTAAAAAAAAAAAAAATAAATACAACCTAATTTGGCTAACACTTGAAAAAAACAGCTACTGCAATGTGTATCTTGGAAAAAAAGTTATCTCAGACTTTTTCAAGCTTTTTTTTTTTTCATTCGTTCTAGAGGTAAGTTAATCTTACTTTCTTGAAACTCTAAAGTATTTCTCCGCCATAAAAGACTATTCTTAACAGGTTTCCATCAATCTAAAAGCAAAGTGTGTTTGATGACGCAAACACGAATCCAAATGGCACGAAGAAAGTATTTAGTGCAATCTTACACAAATGTCTACTTTTCCATCCTTGCAATCATATTGCTCGATTTTCATTAACAAACCTCCAGACAGAAAGCAACTTAAACGGCGATTTGCAATGAACAATGTGAAGCGTTTCGAAAATTACAATTTCAGCAAAAGCACTAAAGGTTTCTTCCATAATGCATGCTAACACAATCAGCTTCTTTCTTTAACTAGGACGAAATAAAGCTATATCTATTAAACTCAAAATTAAGTACTTATGAACCTTTTTTGAATACTAAATTACAAGTACTACCTTAGGATATAACCCATATTTTCTCTTGTATAATATCTTCAGTATTTCTATTTCATTGGTCGCAGGACCTTCCCTCTTCGGTGTAATGATTTCCCATATCAAGAAGTGCACAACTCCCTTAACTGACCCTACCCATCGGAATTCACAATCAAACTGGTCCTACCAGTCAAAATAACTGTTATTGATCCACTTAGAATGCGCACGTACAATATTTAAAGTACATGAACATGCACACTTTTTATCAAAATTTTATAGAACTGCACGAATTGTTCATTAGTGTTCTAAATTCACGTTGTCGATGGCAACAACGCACCACATCATTCGACGTTTTCTGGCTGTGGTATTACCAGTCAAATATCTAATCCATCCACCAATCAGGATTAGTATTCATCTCCTCTTATCATCTGTCTGATTCTAGAAGAAGAAAAGGCGGCAAAGAGAAAAGGATTAAATTTTCTTACTTTATAAGAGAACAAATGACGGCCTTGTACACGGTGCGAATTATTACCAAATCACATAGAAACAATATCATTTAGAAGGCTGCACCCTTCACGGCCCATGTTTCTACAAAGTTGTTTCGCGTTTCTTCTTCGCTTCAAATGATCTGGCAATTTATAGCATCATTTTTAGCAACAGTCCTTCAAAACTAATACTAAAGATTCAAAACTTTGGTGCTTCGTCAGTGTGATGTATTACAAGATAATCTGATTTTATCAACTGAGTTGATGATGTAACTTGCCAAAACTGATGTCTTAAGCGTTAGCTCTTCGTCAGAGCGAAAGAAAGTCCCTAAAAACAGCTGCAAGTCATTATATTAAATAGGAATATTTTTTCCAACTAAGCTGTGTGCATACAAATTCCGGTGGTTCGCGGGATGTTTGTTATAAAAAGAAAGTTCATTTCCCTAGGTACGCTGATTGTCCCAGAGCTCTCGTGTCAAAGCATTTGAGGTGACCAAAACGCCAAAGGACAGCCTTGTGTTGTGAAAACAAGGGACACAAACAGATAATGTTGACGCAATTCCAACTAAACCCTATTACATAAACTAAAACATTTCATCTTTAAATTAACCTTTAGTTACTTCTGGGCCGGAGTTATTCCTAGAGCAGTTATATTTATAAGCGTCTGTTGCGCTGATTTACAGAAAAATTATGGTATTTCTTTTTACTCCTGTTGCTTAGTTTTCCTGACATTTAACACAAGTCATACACTACAAACCGAGTGCCAACGGTACGAGAGTAAGTTTATGTTTATTTATCATTTCTTACCGCTCATTTTAATTCACTAACCTTGAGCCTAAAGTTCCACCTCCTGTCTGTACCTCTCGTTTTTTACGTTTCGCTTTCTTTTTGGAACTTTCTATTCCTAAAATTTACGATTATACATTTTACAGTAAAGCACAATGTACCGTTGCCGCTCTTAAAGATTGTGACAGAATGTCACGACAGTTTTGACGGTATTTTTCCCCCAAAAGTGATTAGCAAATGATAGAGCTTTAATGTCAAGCGATTTCTCCATCTCTTTGGCTTTTGATTAGGTTCGTGATATGAAACCCAACGTAATGATGTCAAAACTGCCCAGTAAGAATGACTTGATGTATTTCGTGTCACAGGAATAGAGGAGTTATTAAATAGCCTGGCTTTATGTGACTTTACGGAACTTTGTCAATTTTGTTTATTACTTCTTTAGCCACTTCTTACAGAAAAAATTGGTTAAATTTAATCTTAGTTTACTGTTTTTATGAGCTTCATTACTTATAAGCTAATCCATCGTGCGTTACGCTTCAACATAAATAAATTTAGCAGAGCCAGTCTCAAGGAGAGATTTTGGTTTTTAAACTTAAGACTTTTATGATCACAATGCAGCGCATTTTAATAAAGTGCACTAAAATTATTGTTTGCCTCATGTCAAATTGACCAACAAATGAAAATTGTGTTATCCTGAATTATGGACATTATCACACAATTTTTGACCGTTGCCAAAAAAGAGCAAAACGTTCCTTTTGCGTCACTTGTCCTGCAGCATCTAGACACTTTGTTTTCCAGAGTATTAGCATGTTCCTTGCATTAAGACAGTATAACTTAGCGAAATGTAAACGAAGGCGGTATAGCGAAAACGAGGGAGGTTTGGAACGGTTACGACCCGATCCGACCCAAACCTCACCCGTTTTTTCACTCCTCCGCTACTAAAGCCCTGTTTACTATCGTGCTCAAAGAAGGTAACATTACCTGATGAAATACTAGAACTGGATGATGAAGCGTTGATCTCCCCATTTCCCTCCACAACTGGTGGAGTGTCGTTCGTGTTATTGTAAGAAATTACTTCCTGGTAAATTGTTCCTGCAATCACACAGATTAAAAGCTTAATTCTCCATACAATAGGAACGCGTTGTCTGGCAAATGTAATAATGAAGATTGTGCAAGAGAGGTTTGACTACAATGAAGCTGTAGATATCGGATTATTTTCAGACAAACATGAAGATAAACACTATATTGTGTCAAAAAACCAGCTGAAAAAACGTTGCAAGTTCAATAACTTAAATACATCACATGTTTTACATGGTGTACTATTAAAAAAATGAGAAAAAAAAACATTTACTGATATACTGAGAGACAAGACAGCCAACTGATATACAGACGGACCGACAGAATGCCGACAGACTGACAAACCGTATGACAAACACACTGATTGAAGTGGACCCGAGTACATTAAACCAAAAGACAGCCAAACAAGTTGGCAGATAACCTAACAGATTTCGACAGGCGAATCTTATCAAAAGAGTTAAATTAAATCATCTCAACAATTCTCGAAGTTTCAAGCGACAGTCAGAATAGTGCCTGTGGGGTCAAAGGTTACCATACCATGACTACGTATTTAACTCACGTTTCCAGTCTTCAACTGTTAGTTCCTTCTCATCCACCGAATG